TCCCCCTCGCCCTCGTTGTAACCCGTAATGCACTCGCTGCAGGCCACGGTTTTTGTTTGTATTAGGAAATCACCCTGTCAAGCGCGCGTCCCCGAAGCCGCGGTCGGAGAATTCGCAAATTTCGGGACCGCGTTCGCGCGACCGCGTGATCGATGCGCGAATTTCGGCCAGCGTTCGAAACCGCGCGCTCGCGTTGCGCAAATTTCGGTAGGCGCGTTTCGGTAGGCGCGCCGTGATCGATGCGATGCGGTGCGAATCGAACGGTCGTTTATATCCCGAGGTAGCGTAAATTTTCCTCCTGAAGTAACCGAGAGTGATTAACGAATCGACGGTCGGCCAGTGGAACTTGCGATTCGGCCGGACGCGTGAAATTTCCGCACGATCGGTGCGGTCGCTTTTAGCGTCAGCAGTTGTGGCGTCTGATGTGCATTTGCGGGATCTGAGGATCTACGGGACGGACGGCGTTTTCCTTCGTTTCCGAACACGTTCCCACAATATGCATCGTCCTCGTCACCCCCTCCATGCCAGTTTCACGGTTGTGACGGCGATTTGTTCTCTCTCCCTCTCGCTCGCGTTCGGCGGCCTTTAAAGTTTCAACCCTAAAAGTGTTTTACGCTTGGCGTCACCCATTGATCGAATTTAAAACTGATGCGTGCCCGGGCACCCGTTCGGGTGACATCGCTTTGACACCCGGATGTACTGATTTTACAAGCAGGCACGCGGCGGAAACGGATTCTGGGAATGAAATTTAGGGTTGAAAAAAGGACAGAGACCCTGGCGGGAAGGGTGAGAGAGAAGAGAAAGAGAGAGAGAGAGAGAGAGAGAGAGAGAGAGAGAGAGAGAGAGAGAGAGCGAGTGAGAGAGAGAGAGGGGAGGAGTGAAAGCGAGAGTAAAAGCCACGAAAGGGGGCGAAAGGGTACGCGAGCGAGAGTGCTCTTCGCGTGCATTCAACGTAGTTATCCGCCCACGTAACACGTCGCTATTGACAAGCGTGGCGAATTATCTACTCTCTCGCGAATGGTACACTGCGCGCTCCATCTAGGATTCTCTAATGTAGGAAGCTTGTTGCCCTGATATTCGTTGTAATAGTCTAACGTACACGCGTACTTCGTCAAAGCGATAGCTATCAGCGCAGTGACAGTCTCACGTTCATCATCGTCGCATTCGTCGCGAGGACTGAAGGGCGGCTCTCGTGAAGTCATTCATTTGTCTGACGAAGGTTGTTAGTTGCGTGCGTAATTCAGCGCTTGTCGCGGTGAATGCATCGAATTTAAAGTTGGAGTGCGTCCGCATGTATCTCTTTGTTTTTATAAAAAGTTGACGAAAAACGATAACATCACGCTAAGCAGCCTCGACAATCAGCTCCGCGCCGGCGATATTCTCGGTATTTGCACACGCGAGTAAGTCAGCGTGCCGTTTCCGATTGTCAGCGAATGATCGTTCACGTCCGAGCCATTTGACATTGCTAGATTACTCGAACGGCGTATTGACAAACGGATTAACGTCAAGTTGACTTAGCGGCGTTGCCGATAAGGAGCCGATAACCGATACGTAATTGTGACGTAGGACGGCCGTGGCGAGAATCGCGCTCGCGACGGGAGGTCTTTATCTGGTCGCGACTTTTCGCGGCTTATCGTCTCTCTCTTTCTCTCTCTCTCTCTCTCTCTCTCTCTTTCCCTCTGTCTTTGTCTCCCTTTCTTCCTTCCCTCCCTCTCTCTCTCTCTCTCTCTCTCTCTCTCTCTCTCTCTCTCTCTCTCTCTCTCTCTCGTTTCCTCGACGTGGAATCGTAAAAAAGTGAGAACGGCGCTTTGCATACGGCGCGACGAATCGCGAAATTGGATGTGTCACGAGTTTATGCGCGTCCAGACCGACGATCCTTATCCCGAACCGGCGCTCTCCTCTCCGGTCGTTACTGAATTTACACGCCGCCTTCGCCACGTGCATTTCATGCCGCGCTCTTGCATCCTCGGCGACGATCGGCGACGCATCCGCGCGCCCTTCGACAGGCGTGACGATCGAACGCGAGATACCGCCGCCGCTTTGAATATTACGTCGAGCGCGGGTCGAATGAGGAAGGTAGGAGACCTTCCGCGTCGCGACAGAAGTTTCGCTCACGACGTGCGGAGAGCTGCTCTTCTGGGAAACGCCGGCGGATTCGTCCGTATGCGTCCGTATATCTAATTATTACGCGGATCACACGCGGAGGGGGACCATCGTTGCGGCCTGCACCGACCGGACGCAACTAGAGCAAACGTTTCCCCGCGTAAACGCGCTGTTTGCGATCCCGGCTCGATCGCTCTCCAGCTTTGATCAAGTATTATATTATGCGAAACCAATGAAATTTCGGGGTGGAAGCGGAGGAGAGGGAAACATGCGTTATCCTGGCTCGGCCGAAGGCTTCCGGCCTTTCCGGTGTTTTATCTCTCGAATGTAGAGAAACGCCCGGCTGATATCACGGAAAGTTGCTCGGATACGCCGGACCGGCCTTATTTACCGAGAACTTTTCTTGAAGAATCACACACACACACACACACACAAAGGCTCCTGCCCCATGGCGGTGGCCCCCCGCCGAGTTACTTCCGTGTAAACAGCAATCTCTTCTCCGGCTTGGGCATGGGCGGGTGGGAGGTTATCGCGGGATTATTTCTTTCATTCATCTCCGCGCGACTTAAGGATTCTGAGAATAAAATATGCAGGCCGCGTCTTTAGAGGGGCCATGCCGTGCTTCAGGTACCCACGGCCGTTTTCTGGTAATTACGCCGGTTAATTGCGAAGGACGGCCTTGTTCGCGCCGCTTGTTACTCGCCGAGTACACCGATCCTCGCCGCCATCGTTGCCGTTTGGGAGGTATTAAAAGAATGTTTACGGGTGTACCGAGCACTCTTTCCTTCTCTCTCCCTCCCTCCCTCTCTCCCTCTCTCTCTCTCTCTCTCTCTCTCTCACTCGCTCGTTTGTTCGCTCTCTCCGAGTGTTAAAGTATAATGAGACGTGTACCTGTAGGCGTCTCTCTTAGACTTCGAGGATTAACATCGCTAATTGTTAGTCTCAAAGGATGCGAGAGCCGCGCGCGGCAAACCGGTAGCCCTGTTCCGGGGGCAGTGTCCTGGAAAATTAAGGATTAGCAGTCAGTTGTTGGCGAGGAGATCGAGCGAGGGGAGCGAGAGCGGGGAGCGGAGTTCGGGGGCGGTTATTGCTTCATACCCACGTGATGGGCGGAATACGCTGTCGTAAAATATGCTTTCTTAGAACGGCCGTGCACAAAGGGTTTAGCCTTTAAGAGGCGCGGTGAAATATTGGCGGCGTAAGGAGCTTGGAAGTGATCCAGTGTTTTAAAATTCAAAGGGAGAACATTTCGCTCGCCTGGCCACGGCGACCCTCACGCCTTCCAATCTTTCGCGTGTCGCGCCAAGCCCGAGGTTGGGCTTGGCGATCGTTCGATTTATTTATAGAATCGTTAGGTGCGTATGTACGCGCGCGTCGCTAATAGAGAGGAGGCTCTCTCGTCTCGTGCGCGCGCGTCAGCTGATTTTCCAAGATAAATATTAAACGACGACGACGCGCTTTCGCTCGTCGGCCGTCAAGTATTTTCGTGAACGCTCACTATTGACGGCAGTATTAAAGTCTGGATTTACCGTGCTCTCAAGATACGCCCGGGACATTGTTTTAAAACACCGCGCTATCATTCTCATGTTACTGTTTGCCGTTGGATTTACGCAGAGGGAGAGATTCTCGGATTTATACGATAAGAATACTCGTTCTTATTCATCTGCCTCCAAAATATCACGTTACGGCGGCGTCAAGTTACGCTTTATCAAGTTTTCAAACGCACGAAAATATTTAAAAGCTAGTATCAAATTGCAAGTTACTAAGTTATCGTAAAATATTGACCCGCACGTCGCAAGTAGGGAAAGAAAATTCAGCCTTGACGTGTAGCGTCGTAATGTTCGCAATAAGACGCGCGTAACGTGATATCCGTACGAAAATTGCCGAGCAACAACGAGCGCTGTTGCTGTTGCTGTTGCTGGATACGCGTGTAAAAACTTTCTCGCGAGTGTCTGTCTGCGTGTGTGTGCAAATTTAAGGATATCGCATGGCGAACGGATACATTAGCCGGCATACTGACTATGTTTATGCAGGTATTTTTCAAACGTCGAGAAAACACGTAAGGATCTCAGCCGGTTTATCCTTATACGCTTCTTTTGTCGCGACGGATGTTTTCATCTAAGAATAACATGTGCTGTCGTACACGAACTAATGATATACGATCGTTCGAGTATATAATGTAACATAGTGCAAGTTACGACACGTGAAGCTTGCTCGGAGCGCAGTCTCAGGTTACCGACTGGTTTCACAACATGCCCACAAAGTAATTAAGAACATATCAGCACGTAATGAATCGTAGCTAGGCGCACAAATGGTCGATAACTGACGAGCGATAAAATAATTTCATCCGCCCTCATTCTATTAAGGGCGTATATCCATCTCGTATATCAAATGTTATGCGTCGTAAACGTTGAAGCCAGTCGTCGAAGGACTGCGCTATCAAAGGCTGTGTTTGCGTTAATATTTCTGCAGCGTCCAGAATTTATCGCAGACACCGGTATTAACGGATTATAAAAATCTCTTTGCGGAAATGGACACGCGAATATCTATAAATCCTCGCAGTGCGCGTCGGGAGAATGTCAAGAAGGGAAAAGAAAACATAACAGAGAATATAAAAACTTCCGCGTCGTCTCGGTGATAGAATAACACAGAAAGACACTTTAATATGCTCACGCCAACCGGCAATCCTCCCAGGATTAATCAGTACCAGATTGGTAATTAATGTGAATTAAAAGATGAGGTTATGACGCGTGAATGCCAAGTGAAAAATATTTCATCGCTGATAATGTCGACGGTGTCTGTTAGCGCGCGATAATGTCACTTTGCCGGTCTTAGTTTCATTGACGCGTGTAAAAACTTTCTCCGCGTGTTTACTAACAATTTATAAACATCAACAGAAGCGGTCTGTCCGGACGGGGAAAATGCTGGCTCCGCTCACTCCATCGATCAGTACGTCGCGAGATTCGTGTCCGATTCATGTGCGGATGGAACGTGCGACAAGGATGACTGTCCGAGGACACGACGAGAGACATTATCGCACCGAGCAGTCGGCAGGAGTCACCGTCGCATACGAAAGGATGGAGAAGAAAGGTAAGTGAGAAAAGAGCGAGAAAGAGTCGCTGGCGAGCGACGCGCGTCCGGGAATAAAAGTGGCGTTGCAGCGAACGATAGATCTTCATTAGAGCGCGACGGTGCATAAGTCACGCGACGGGGGGCGCGACTTTTAGCCACCCTCGTAATTCTCCAGCACGTATATATAACGCACTAGCGGGCACGGGTAGTGTACGATAATGACCGCGAGCGCGATCGACACGGATAAGACGAGAGTTTTCTCAGCCGTCGCGCGTCGCACGATTCGCTCGTTCGTCATGAGTTACTTTCCGACACTATTTTTACTCCATATTCTCCTTAACATATCGAATACAAGTAAAATACTTGGATCGACGGAATGAAAAATATAAAAATGTGTCGTGCGTACGTACACGATTGGTGTACGAGGAATTTTGATTCTGAGACACACATGTGTTTGTTTAAACAAATGTTTGGTCAAGTGTCTTTTTTGTAAACGTATAATTTGTTATAAACACACGCTCGTTTTATATAAAGTAGATGTGAAGCGAAAAAGAAGGTTCAGATATCAAGGGGATGTAGCTCAGTGGTAGAGCGTTCGCTTTGCATGTGAAAGGTCCCGGGTTCGATCCCCGGCATCTCCAATCTTTTGTCATTATATTTTTCACATCGATTTTACCTGAACGTTTTCATCGGGAGAATAATTTTTCTTTAAAAGCGTTATACATATATTATTTACGTTTATTATTTTTTTTAGAGAGCGATTTATTCAGCACTGCTGAATAAACGCCTCGAATGCAAATCAATGCAAGTAGAATTTATCAGATTTTTAAATTTTTACATTATGTACAAATTGTGCACGAAAATTATTCAAGTGACTCTAATTATAATATCAAGATACACATGCCATCAGATATATTCTCCTTGATTGTTGTGTTCGCACAATCTATTTGCTACATCCTCATTTACAAGCCGTCTTTTTCACTTGACATACTTTATAATATCAGATATTTATGGACAAAATTGTATTCCTATTATGTTTGAAATGTTTATGAATAATACAAGGAGGCTACAGCGTTCACATTATTTTTGCTGAAAACGCTCGTAAAAAATTCGTCACTATAAGCGACTTGCATCACGATAGCATCAATTACATAATAAATAATTGCGTGGAAGATATGGCGACTTCGAAATATACATTTCTCTCAGCTATCCTCGGTAGCCCGCGGTCAATCATAGGTCGACCTTTTTTTTTGGAAAGAAACCCTGCAACCGAGGTCCGTCACGAGATCTACCGACCGGCTGTTTTACGTTTCGCGAAGCCGGAAAATCGCTAAGTTCGCGGAGAGTTTGTTAAGGTTTCGGCGTTTAATTTCCCCACAATGCGCGCACGTCGGCCGTCGGTGAGTGTTATTTTTTTCTCTCGGCGCGAGCAGGCGCGCCTTGAGCAAATTGGAATTCGCGTTTCTACGTTTTCCACACACATGGAAAACGCAAGAACGAGGCGGGGGCGTCGCGCGAACCGCGCGCCGGACTGCCGGCGAGCAGAACGTGAAAATACTCGCGCTAGGCGTCGCTTTACTGCGAACAGAATTAACGTCCCGTAAGACGAACGCAAATGAGTAACGAGCGAGACTACGTGCGGCATTTATTTTCGCGAATACCTGCTCGCCCGCCTGCCTGCCTGCCTGCCTACATGCGAAAAGCTAAATGCCGCGAGCGGCGGATTTAATAACTCGAGCGGCTCGGTGTACCGCGATGAAAAGCCTTTTGTCTCGCAGGTACGTTCGAAAACGAGGCAAACAAGCGAGGGCGGGGTTGGTGGGGGGGACCGTAGGGGAAGCAGGTAGTAGAACGGATGTGGAAACGGTCGGAATATCGAGGCTGCGGAGTAAAAACGGGTAACTAAAAAAAGGAGGGAAAGTGGGAGGGAGGGAGGGAGGGAGGGAGCGATAGAGAGAGAGAAAAGAGAAAAAGGAAGGAGCTCGGGGAGGGTGAGTTCCAACGTCGATCGAGCGTGCGTAATTCGCCCCGAAGGGGTTGCAGGCTGCTTTCCCGACTGCGTCCGAGCCGGACGGTGCGCGATGCAACGAGCGGGATGCATTGCGAATAATAAAGGAAAGAAAGAAAGAAAGAAAGGAAGAAGGGAAGAGAAAGGGGGAAGAAATGTGCGTGCGATCGGCGAAGTCGCGTCGACTGCAGCGGAATAACGCGGTTCGGAGATCGCGCTCGCGTTCATAATCCACTCACTGCCTCGGCGGCTGCGTTCGGGGTTGGCAAGCTATGCACTTCTCGATGCATTTATATCGCTGATGCATTTATCGCTGATGCGCTCGGCGGAGGGAATCGCGTCGTCGGGCGTCTATTGTCACCGCTCGAGGTGGCGACCGATGCCAAGGGGTTATAGTCGGTTGGCCGAGGAGGGTGGTAGTACGGCGAAGGGAGGTACGCGCCATTCCTACGGCATTACGTCATACATCGATCGTCTCCGTGGGGATTCCCACGGAGTCAACTCGCCACTGGTAGCTTGTTATATCACATCGTTGCAGGTGAACGCGCCTCGCGATGTTTGCGGACATTTACCGGTTTGTTTGTCGTATATTCCGGAAGAAGAACGGAAATCACGGGGGATCGGCGGTTCCGCGGGGAGAACGTGTCCCCGAGGAAAAGTAACGACGGTGTTCGGCTACAGGGGGTCGTTTACAATGTGTCGGAATTCGACTCGCGTATAGCACGACTCGCTGATTGTCAATTTATTTGTCGGTTTATGAATTATTGCTCGTCGATGAGAACGCCATAAACGCGCCGGGAACGCGTCATTCCAACGCGCGGCAGATCAACGGCGCGTGTATAAAACGCAAGATGAAGAGGCAATTAAAAACTAACAACGTTATACACGATGCGTTTCGGTACAGCTGACGCTTGTCGTTTTACACTGCGTGCATGCACACGTGCGTGCCATAATATCGGCCCGATGGAAGTACCGTAAATGAGAATGATTTGATTGGATTTAACTTCCGGCGGACAATCAAAAAAGCAATTTCAACACGCGCCAGCGACGGCGGGGGTGGAATTTGCGCTCGACGAGCGAATTAAAAAAAAGGCGAGAGGGGGAGAGAAAAAGAGAAAGAGAGCGAGAGAGAGAGAGAGAGAAGGAAGCAATCGGTACGCGCCCGTTTCAGGGGTAATCGCCGTCGCGTGCCTAAAAATGAGACTGCCACGACTGATTAATCATCGGCAATCTCGCGCGAGAGGAACGGCGCGAAAGAACGTCGCCATTAGTGGCAAATGACGAAAACTCCGTCAACCGGGGTGTATCCGCGCTGTGTTCTGGATACACGTTATTTTTTCTCTCTCCTTCTCTCTCTCTGTCTTTATCTGTCGTCGCGTATACAAACGTACACGAGGAGAAGAGATACCGTTGCCCGCTCGCTCGTCCGCTCGCGCGCGCGCAGAGGGGTGAGTAATTTAATTGAAATTCCCCTCTGTGAAATTGTGGAAAAATCGAGTCATGCGATCGCCGGAGCCTGCGCGAAAATGGAATTACAGGAGGAAACGAGGTTTGCCCGATGATGCAGGTGAACGCCGGTTTCACGGGAGACGAATGGTGATCATAGTTGGGTGAGGCGGGGATTGAGGGAAGTAGGCAGGCCGGCAGGAGGAAGAGGGAAGGGGTAGAGTAGTAGAAAAAAGATACGAGGAAGTATTCGTCAGGTCGGCAAAGTTAGTCAGACCAAGAGCTTCGGGTGCAGACAAGTTTTTCGGTTTGGAATTTTCGCACAAATTGGTCTTACGAAATTATACCCAATTAAATTATTCTGCCGCGTCGCCAGAGCTATTTGCGATATGCGAGAGCTCTTTCCGCGGCTCGCGGCTCCGCTGAAAAATATCCTATTTTGCACACGCGGCACTCGCGTGTTTTCGGGAAGAGAGAGAGAGAGAGAGAGAGAGAGAGAGAGAGAGAGAGAGAGAGAGAGAGAGAGAGAGAGAGAGAGCCGGGAAAATGCCCGTGCATCCCGCACGCGCAATTTTTACTCGGCGAGAAATCGATCGATAATTCGGCACGGTAATCGAGTAGTCTTCCGGCCGCTGCGCTGCCTCGATGTCGCATCGCGCTGGAAAATATGCGCGCGTGTGCGCGCCGAACGAGCCCGAAATATGAGTGCCTAGAATTCCGCGGATAGCTCCATTCGTAATGAAATTGTTTTTAATTAAGCGACTCACGTGTATATATATACACACACACACACATATATAGGTATACAACGATATAGCCGCGACGTTGGCTCGCCAATGCGAGTTGAAAACTCCATTAACATTTCCATATCTTGGGAGCAGAAGCGGCGCGTTGTCGTCTTGCGCAATTAGAAGGACGAATATTTCATAACCGTGCCGGAGAGAAAGGGGGGGGGGAGGGGAGAGAGCAGAGAAAGAGAGGCAGGGAGACAAAGAAAGAAAGAACGATATTATCCGGGCCGTATGCCGAAATATTCCCCGAGATCGAAAGTCTTCATCTTCGTCGTTCGCGAATAATGTCGCGGCGAGAGGATTATATACGCACTTCTCGCGTGCGCGATACACATTTTTATTAATCTCCGCGGTATATACGCGCGCGGGCAAATATTCCTTGGCAAATGAAACTCGTTATAGGCGCCTCGGAAAGTTTTCCGCGCGGTATCCGCGCGCGGCCGTTTTTAATTAAACTTTCGTCCGCGCGGCGAAACAGCGACGGCGGCGGCCGGCGACTGTGCGCGCAATGTTCGTTAGTCGCCGCCGCCGCCGCCGCCGCCGCATAAACTTCGACGCGCGCGTCGAAAACTTGGTATATTTTCGCGTGCCGCGCGAAATTATTCATCGCGATATTTCGCGCGATCCCCCCTATTAAAAATGCACGGCGGGCGCGGCGAGCGAGGAAGCGACCGCGCGCTCTCCCGTCGCTCGTCCGTACGTTTTAGTATGCGCGCTTTAATTACGGGCCGTGGACGAAAAGCGACGAACGTAAACAGAAGCGATGTAATTCG